TAAATAGTTTTTTCTGTTGTATTCCTATGCAGAAAAGGAACAGAATCTTTCCACCAACTAGCTGAAATGTATGTGCGCTTCAGCTACATCCGTAGTTGGTTTTCAAGTCAGTGTAGTATGACATAGCAAATCTTCCGCCTGATTTTTGAGCAAACGTTCATAATGGAATATATATTTACGTATGTATATAAATGTATATATTTATACATATATTTATATGTATTTATATATACACATATATATACACATATATATATATAATTTGAAATGCTTGACGCTGGACTGGTTTAATTTCATCCGGCATGCCCACACATTCATATGTTCTGAAAAAAGATTACATAAACTGACAAGAAACTAATATTGTATGGTTTTTTCTCATAAAAATGGCTGATCTTCCATCATTTACTATAAACTTTAATAAGACTCATGGGCTTTGAATAAATAACAATAATGACCAGATGACCAGATTTCAAAACCACAATAAACTGGTTGGATAGACATGACCCAGGTATACTCACCACCTCTCTGTTGGTGAAGTACACAATCACCAGGATAATGTGAGTCAGAGCGATAACTCCAACCAAGATTGCATACTGTGGAGTGAAGAAAACGAGTGTTAAAACACGGGGAATTTCTGGATGCGTACGTTCAAAAAAGATACATGTGGCGCATTAAAAGACTTTGAACCCGAACATTGTCCAGTCGTTCATTCTCCGTAGAATTTTCGTGCACACAAATTACTGAACTAAGTACTGATACCAACGAAAATAAACGATGGTGAATATAGGAGAACAGTGGTAGATACCACCATGGAGAATCGTCTATTTGGTCACTTTGTTGGCATAACAGAACAAGACTGAGAGCCATGCCACACGAAGGAGTCACAAGAGCTTGGATACTGCAAGGTTGCCCAAGCCTAGACAGGGGAAGTCGAGAGGCAGAGATCGTGTTCGAACCAGGGACCTTTCAGTCAGTAAATTCGCGCTCAAACCACTTGGTCCATCTGGCCCCACAGAACAAAACTGGCAACGTTTGAATATATTTCAGGAAAATCTACACACGAACAATAAGAACAAACTCACAGTACGTTTACAAGAAGAACGGATAAGATGAAAGTGATGTGATTGCAATCCCCACAATACCCGCAATCTTCAAAACGACTTATCCATTCAGAGGATAAAATGTTCGGCTAAACCTGGGTAAGTGATTCCACGCGCTGTCAATTTACCAATAAGTGAAGGGCAATGGCCGTTCTGAATTGCTCAAGCTTTCGGATTTTCCGCCAGTAGATTACCCATTGCTGTGAAAACTTTGGGGCTAAAACGTATATCGTAACTGGGATTTTGGGGATTAGATTTTTGTTGCACGTTCAACAACCACCTAATCATTAGATCTGTTCTGCAGTCAATCTGAGCAACTTATATGTATTGTTCTAAAAGAATAATCCCTTACATTTTCCCAGGATATTCAACTCCCCTTACAATGCCATGTAGTCTTTGAGGCCCTTCGCGGAGCACACGCGATGCGTTATTTCGACGTCGCTGAAACACAAATTCCCAGATCTATTCAAACAGTAAAACAAAGCTGAGAAATGGATACAATTTTCAACACCCTTTTTCTGAGAAAGCGCCCAAAATTACCTCCGATTTCAGCATCGCCTGGTCGAACGTTCCACCCCTGCAGTCGCTTAATTCTAGCTTCAGAAAAGAACCACTTATTAATTCAACACGTTTGATTCGATGCGATCCTCTGTGGTCTGCGATACATTAGAAGGCCGTTTGAGCTGGATGGGCTGCTGAGGGCGCTAATCGGTGATTGCAGACTCGCAGTCCTGGAAGTAAAGTCAGTGCGCAGAAAACTTTGAAAGCAGTACTGGCAGGTTGTGGGGGGTGTACAGTTTGAGGGATGCCCATCTATACGGTGGTACCACTGCAAAGCAAACCACCAACGGATGTCTAGACAATAGTAAGCAAACATTTTCTCTTGCATAGCCTTTTAAAAGAAATCCTATTCTAAATGCCTAATTCCTAAAATTGTATACTAGAATATACTACTATATACTAGAATATACTAGTGATAATAATTACAAATAAGAAAGGAAATTCCTTTACAACGATTTTCTACAAGCGATCAGTTGAATCTACGTGGTTTTGTAGGGCTACCATTTTTATGAACGCACAAAAGGCGAGAAAATTTGCGAAGAATCAGGTATGAGGAAGCTATAGAGATGGTCCGGGATTTACAATAAAATTGATTTTATGCAAACAGATTTCTGATGATTGCCATGTTCAGTGGTCACACAACGTCACTGAGGATTATAACCGAACGTTGCTTCACAGCTGTGGCACCTGTTTACCGAAAAGAGTTTTGTTAACAAAAGTAGATGGCTGAGAGCACAACAGATCACTCGTACAAACCCGCGATACTTCTCATAAACGGTGCTCGACCAAAGATTTATTCCAACCGTTACTGACAGTCTTAAAAGCCAAACGACCGACGATCTTGGCAACAACGATGGCTACCCAAATGGTTAGGATCAGAGAGAAAAACAGCGGAGATACGGGATTACGTACGTGAAATTTCTGTCTATAAAAGTGCATCGTAGCTAGTAACTATCAATTTCGCGAACGGCTTTTTGAAAAATCATGTGAAGATCCATCAGGTGATTTCAAAAAACGCTCAGTCGTTTTGAAAACCAGGGTCGGATGCGCTTAAATTGATGTGGGGATAAAGTCAGAATTTGTCATCGTTTTTGAGTAGCCTTTCATCGGAGCTGCGAACAGTCGGATGTTTCAACCTCCTTCGAAAAAATTGTCTACTGATTCCTCATCAGCTTCCCCAGCACTTTGTGGTCGACTTTTAATCCATTCGTTGCCATTTGTCAATCCCCGAAATAAAAACTCCAGTCCATCACAGAAACGTGAATATTTTCTGAACGTATTCCAGTGAACAGATAAACTATTCACATGAATGTTTCAGAATGATGGCCTTTGTGTTCTACATAGTCTTTCCAAACAAGACTCATGATTACGTACCTGTATTTTTCATCCTGCTTATCCAGTTTTTCTCAAGTGTCCACTGATATCTATCCCGACACCAGAACTGGTTCTTATGTGTATTGGAATATAACGCGGGTCTAAAAATTGGTTTATATGAACTACTTTTAAATAGTAATTTTATGACTACAAGCGTTCATCCTATCACCTGTAGGATTAGTGAATGTTATACGTCGTTTCTACTTATTCTTCTACTGTGAACCATGATTTTACATAACCAATGACCTGTTTTCTCTGTCATTTTACATCGTATTTCAGGGTCACCTAGCGTTAAGAGCCGATAAACTGTAGCATTTGAAAATAACTTTTTGCTTTTCTCTGACGGTGCTTAACAGATTGCAGTACCGTTTGGCGGGGACCCCTGACACCAGCTCACGCCCTCAGAGCCCTGTGCAACAGACATCTGCGCCAATATATGAGCGTTATTTGTCATTAAATTCTCATTTGATCTCCGGTTTACCAACCACTTACCAGTTTGTGAGGTTTCCCCGCCTTGTTTAAAACCCTGTCTAGAAGATGCGCCTGTCTGGTTAACCGCTGGCGTGAATTTTCAGCCTACTGTCGCTTCTGAAACATAGTTCATTTTTTGTGCTAGTAAGCTCATTATATCTGTGTTGTCTGTAATGTCCGTGCTGAATTTTTTACTTTGCTTTAACAGTTGCTGACAAAGGCTTACCTTCACCCTAGAACTGCCCCGATTCCTACGATGAAACACTTTGTTGCTGCAATACGAGGCTAGGCGTATCTGTTACCGCGAAAGTGATGCGTAAACTCAGAGGAACCCCTGAGACTGCATTCTGGTAGGACAAGAAAATGGTCCGTGCTCCCATGACACTTGACAAGTCTTTAAATATTCTGACAAACTTTGACCGTTCTGTGGTTATATGGAAGCCTTCTACTTCTTCTGTCTGGTCTCCTGTTTCTTCTCCGGGATTCACTCTTTTGAGGGTTGATTCAATTTAAACCTGAGTTTTTGTGGGTTAGTTCTGATGTTTTCCAGGATGATGTGCTGCTAGGTTGAAGGTCAGCAGCATTGATCTGTGGGTCAAACTGTTAAGCAAGAATATAGTTCCAAACGAAAGGTCTGCAATAGTGGCAAACAGTGCTTTCACGCCAAGTTGACCGAAAATCAATTAGCATCTCTGAACATTCGTCAATCCTCCAAGCCTTCCGCGGTGACACAAGAATGACTTGAATTGCTTTGCGCTATAATCGTGATTGTGCTTCGCTCATATCATCGTTAATTTTGGCCGTTTAGGCATATTTAGAATGAAATATTCTCCAGGATTTGGTGAAAGACCTACTGGACACTAACTACGCTGTTTTAAGAATACAGCTGGTCTCTCCGGGCTCTCGTTGCGAGAACTTTTTAAGGTGCAGTTAGAAAATTGCTTTGGAACGATCCAATCTCAAACTTTAAGTCACCACTTGGTAATCTTGGAAGGCACCTGAATGTAGCTAAAGCACAACAGAAATTAAATCACACCTTCCGTTTACTCCAGTCGAAGAAAGCGTTGCCACAGAAACCACGTCCACGCATACTCCTAACTATTGAAACAGGGTTGAATTTTTTCAATGGTGAATGCACCACAGAGAGAAGGAATTGACAAGTTAATGTGTGTAAACCAATGAATGATATTTTTATATCCATGGTTTTGACTTACCACAAAAGTCATCACTGGGAATTGGCAAATACCAAAGAGGCCAATCACTGCGCTGATCAGCAAAATGAATCCAAAGACCATGAATACAATGCCCAGTGGTCCTGTGGGTCGAAGCAGATATGAAACAGACACATACAGAGACATAAATACTGTTGGGTTACTGCGGCGCAGCAGCCTGATATGATTTTGACATATAGACTGGAACAAATACAGACTAAATCATTAAATGTTACCTCATACTGATGAGTCTTGGTGACTAATCAAACATCACACAGAATTTGAGCTGGCACAAGAAGGACATTGACGCTGTGCGCTCCCAAACTCCGGAATATCCATCCGCAGCATATGACACGCCCTCTTCTTCTACGGTTCTAACTAGCCAGGTTACAGAGTTGAAGAATGTGCAGTCACCTACAGAAAAGAGTACACAACACGCACGACGTGACTTCTTAACATTTTTTCAAACGTGGATACGTTTTAGCACTGCTGGTTGATCAGGTGGCAGTTGATCTGCTCGCCGAGTGCGTGCTTCATCCGTGCCTAGCTGCGCTTATATAGTTTTTTGAAAGATATCTAATATCTTGTCATGTGGTTAGCCAATTGTATTATTATTGCCCCGATTGTGATATGAACTGCCTCGTAGTCTCTATGTCTCGTATCTCATTGGTTGGTTGGATGGTTGTTTTGGGGGTGTTTCAGATCCATTCTCGACGGGTCCGTTTTCGGTTTTGTGTTGCCTTCCTGTTTAGCGGGTTAGCCAGAAGCTGGTTCGTATGCCAAGTGGAACGACTGGACTTTTGAACGATGAATACGTGGGATGTGAGACCACGAAAGTTTTAAAGGCAACCTAGAAATTCGACTTCTCGTTGCTCGGAGCATATATTGTTTGATATGGAACTCACGATGCTCTGCCTTTCGTTCTCCATCCAGGGGACGTTCGCCCTTTCCAAAAAGATCATCAGTTTCGGTTTGTTATCCTGTCTGGTGCATATCTACACAAATATGTCCCGACAGTGGCGTTGATCTGTATCATGACCAGAGTGATTCTTGTTAATCTATACGTCGATTGTTAGTTATATTCTCGAAACATCTTTGATGATCGGAACGTTCAGTACCTATTCATCAATTTCCATGTATATTGTTGATGCATTTTGCATCAGTGCGCAAAGGCATGCAAAACTCTTTTTACCTGGGATGCTTGAGGGTATATTCGCAATCTTGAGATTATCGATTTATTTCAGCAATCTGTTGAACCACGTCGAGTTACGCGCAAAGCCCCAAAAACCAAATCTTTCAGACGGATGTTTACCAACAACAAATAAAATGATAAAACTTTACAAGTCGCAAATCGTGGGACTGTGATGACTTCTATACACCGGTGTAGGAACTGCTAATTCCCAACGGGTCTCAAATTCCACGCCGACTCAAATCCACCAGCGAGGGAAACCACATGTGAACTGAAACAACACGTCCGCTGACAAGGTCATGGAACGGTTTAGGTTCAGGTAAAAAACAAGAAGGGTGGTATAGACGCAAACCAAAGTAACAAAAAAGCAGGAATCACGTTGCACAATATAAAAATAGAAGAAAGGAATCAACAGATGTTCCAGTTTATCGGTGGACTGTGGCTCTCCAACGAAGTTTTCTTAGGTTTCAACACGCTGATATACGGCGCGAACGACAAGGATGGATTTAAATAAACCCTGTGCACTCCAGGTTGAGTGATATGAACAAGAACTGGGGTTTTCCCCAAATTAGTAGTATTTTTCCAGGATGTTGTCACTAAACTTTGTAGAGCGAATATTATCATCATCCCAAACGATAGATCAGGCTTTCTCAAAGTGATTTACTGTCAATGACTAGCATTTCCACTGTCCCCTTTAATGTGTTTTGATGTCGTGGACTGGAATTATTACAGACGCACTAGAATCGCCCATTCATTCTGGCGTAAAAACTCGCATCAACTAATATGCTAGTAACTCCCACTTCCTATACTTCCCACAGTTCCCTACTGCTGAAAACATGCATTTTTATGCTTCACACCCGTGTAACGGTTGATACTACTGATGGGGCGTGGTAGTAGTATGTTTTCTCATGAAGTGAAAACTATTACGGACATTGTGGAGTCACTTTGTAGGATTCGCTTGCAACAACAATGAATTACTGGCCAACAGTCAATGAATATCAAGGAAAATTCAGGAAGACGAGATAAAGGAGAAGATACATATTCAGTTTTTGTAAACAAGATGCATATGATAGTTTCGATTACCTGTTTAATAGTCTGTGACTGCTCTCCACAGCGAAGCCTTCTTTCTTCCGCCTGTAGCTGCTTGCTTAGTACGTGTGAGCTTTTCCAGACCGTATACTTAACCACTTCAAGCCGTTTGTCTTTTTTTCAACGGTGAATTTGGCGTGTTTAACAAAAGCACAAGTGCAAACGTTTGTTTCGTCAACAAAGTTTTAGCCCTCGAACTGTAAGACTGGACATAGCAGAGCAAAGCAGCACGTGAATACTTCGAACCAAAGCGCACAAGAATAGGGGTTGAGCTTAATGAAATTCATTAGTGGTAAGATCAAAAAACGACCTATCTTAAAGAAGCCGACTTAATCGTGCATACACAGGTAAGGTGTCAAGTAGGTAGAAGTTTTTGGCCTTCCGTAACTTGTTAAAGGACAATCTTTTCTTGGTCTTTTACTGTTTTAGACACATGTACACAACAGAAATGTCAAACTAATTTAGAATCAAGGATAGAACTTGCTGGTACAGCTATTTCAAACACTCCTAATGACGTCGAAAAGATGGATCAACTGCTGATTTAGAAACTGCAAAGTATCCAAATGAGCTATCGAAAAAAAAGCGCAGAGCACATTCGTATTTCTAAGACAGAGGTGCTTGTTGACGTAACCACATCATTCAAAGAGCTGCTCGCTTAACAGAATTTCCGGAATGCACAAATTGTTTTACTGAATGACAGTATAATTTCGATGCGGTCAGAATGGTTTTGAACGCAATGTTAGCCAGGAATGTGTTCAGTAAGCAAAATAATTCACTGAAATTGTTTTTACGCCGTCAGTCACACTGAGCAACTTGAACATTTTGAACAAGACGTACAAGTTTAAAATTTCAAAACGTGTTTGTTCTCGTATCTGATCACATTATAAATTGCTGCGTGCTGTGTTCAAGTGTAGACAGCCAAGTGAACACCAGGAATTTCGCATTGAGATGCCTGCAACGTCTAACACCGAACTCAGTTCGGTGTCAACGTTGACGTATATCCATAGAAACTCTTAGCGGATGCATTAAACGTAATCCACAAGGTGTAAGCGGAGAGCAGTTTAACAGTGGAACCAGACTCATTACAGAGAAACTTTGTGGGTTGTCCATTCGAAGGTCATGATAGCGAAAGAATTGATTTGTTTGAATAGAAGATGGAAAAACCACATCAGCCATGCAGGTGAAATTCCCTGATGGATTCGCTGAGCACGTAATCCATGACAGCTGTTGATTTTGAGATGCGTTCATCGATTTCGCATCCGGGGAAACGTAACTGTCTACCAAATTTTGTCGTTCATCACCGCTGCCGCAAGAAAATTTTGTGGTGTTCAATTTATTTGACTCGAAATTTCGATCGACTGAAATGAGGACCGGTTAGCCCCTGAGCATTTGTATGGTGTGTACAAACATCACGGATATCTCGTGCTGGAACAACCTAGTACCATCCATTTCTGATGTGCTTTCATCTTAGTCGCTAGACTAATGATGGGTTTCACTGATGAGGGCGGTGTGTCCCGGAGTGATTATGTAGGCGACGGTTTATACAGAGTTGGAAAGACTGCGCTGGAAATATGACTATTGGATTTATAATGCGATGAAAACTGTAGTATAGTGTGAACAAGCTAGGCAAGTTGAAGAAAAGCGGACGCTTTGTTTACAACTGAAATATGGATTCCGGGCGCTCGCCACCCAGTGTAATCAAGAGAGAAACAAAGAACGAAAGACCTACGGGAGTAGATGGTTAAGGAACAGGTTGATTTCAAACGAAAGTTGTGGAAATGTGATTCCATTGAAAGCCCTCTTAACCCCAATTAACGAAACGTGACCCACTATGTTCGGCATCGCAAGTATGTTCATTTCCAATTGACAGGAAACAAAACATCCTAAGATTAGAATACGAAATTGTGTATATCAACAGTTTGCAGCGTGTGGCAAGACCGTTTTTCATCTGTTGAGAAATCTAGAGATTTGTTGAATCGCTCCATATCCAGGTGAGAATACCTACCAGTTCCAGTTTAGGAGAATGCAGACAAGGTTATAGAGAATACATCCAATTTCGCATGTAGTACACCTCCAAACGGTGTGGTGAACTACAGTAACTGACTTGAGGTAAATTATAGGTTGTTACTCAACTCAACCAACTAACACATTCCATGATGTCAGTCTTGAGCGACTCAGACTGCAACAAATTGTTTCATTTGAACCTCACACAGGCTTTGTAACCCAGAGGATTTTTGTGTGGAACAAGATAAGCTGCTGTCTACGCCAATGTGAAATAGAGAAAACTTGGATTAAACGACAAGCATTCAGGGCCTGGCCATTGGCACCTACCTACTTGGTTTAAAAATAAATGTTAAATCAGTTTTTGGTTTTCACGAGAAACTCAACTGAGTCTGTTGTTTATGATATTCTACAACTGAATGTGCCGCCCACAGATTGCCTGATGTTCCAGTTGGCACGACTATCAAGATATCACAAGGTTGCTGACAACTCTTCGACAGCCCACCACGGTTTCACCTTTCTTGGGGCCCTTCTTAACGGAAAGTCGGCGACGCGCCTACCTGATGAGCACCAACAAGGGTAAAACCGGCCGGTCGTGGGCTGTCAAAGAGTTTCCAGCAACCTTGTGAGTAGTCTCCTTTGAGGTTAAATTCCCTTCATTTGCATCTAAAAGCCCTCCAAACCTCAGCAAAGGTGCCAGATTGCCCCGAATAATTTACCATAGAATTGTACATCACAGTAGCATTTAGGTCACTGAGGCTGACTAAGAGTTAACTCAGACTTTGGACGGCCAGTCATGCGGCCATTTTTGTGGAAATGTAGGTGAGTCGAACTAAGTTCAGCCCGTATGCAGAGAGATCTTCCTCTCCGATTCAATTTGGCATACTGAATTGCAAGTTGTAGTTTTGACTATACTGTTCCACCCATTGAAATAATGCGTTTGAGGCTGCGCGTGCGATGGGGGTGCTGAAAACACGTTAAGTCGGTCCTTGATAACTTTCGAATTCCGAAGACAAGAGTGTGATTATTCAATCTCCATTGAAGGTTGCGGCAGCGCGTAATTTTGGTCGCCATCAGGTTTGACCGGCGGTTTGTCATAAATGCGACCATTTCGCCGTTTGTTTATGTGACATAGAAAGCATTGATGGTTGTACACCAAAGAGCACCAGCTTTCTTTTAGGTAGGGTCACTTCACAACCGCAGAATTTGGTATTCGACTCAGTGAATCCAAATGGTTCTGTTCAAAAGTCGCACATGAATTTGTGGAATTTGTCACGTGTCATGCAATCTGACATCTCGATATACTGCTGGTGCCATGGTATTTGTGCTATTTCTCTGAAGCAATTTAAGTAGAGAAATGAACCCGAGCTCGGCTTCATCATTGGAGCACATAATTTAGAATCGATTTGCGATTCTGTGAACCGGATGGTAGCAGGAACGACGAGGCAATTGTGCTAGTGAAAAATGCTAAAATTGCCGAAGCTGTCTTTGCAGATATTGGCTTCCTTATTTTTAAAAGAGATACAATCGTCTGAATAAAGTAGTAAGCAATCACAAGACCCACAAATGTGCCTGTATATGAAATCCTTCAACTTTGGGTGGCAACCTAGAAATTATTATGCCGGTACATGTTTTGTTTTTGAAATTCTGCAATCGTCCGGCCTCAGATAAAACCGGAGAAAGATCACAAATGTGCATCATGACTCGGGCCCCTCCAAACCTGGTAACTTTAGAATTGCGAGTGCGTACTCGTTCATTTATAATGACGGAGGAGTTCGCGTAGCGGTGAAAGATTATCACCTGCGCAATCAGCTTGTCTTCTAACGTGCCATTTCCGTCCTGCATTTCTGTTTTTGGCATTTGCATTTTGGCCCTCGAAGGACAAGTTGACTCGAAAAATCTCGTTAATAACTTGGAGCTGAATTGCAGAGAGGGGAAAGCGGTAGCTGAATAGGTTATTTAGCAGTGTTATGAATATGCTTGCCGAACAATAAATATGTTTTACTTTTTGTAAAACCATTCATATTGTTTCTTTTTGCGGTGAGACGTCTCTAAAGTAGTCTATCTATTTTCGCCAATTAGCGAAAATGTAAATTATTCATTGATAAATCAAGTGGCTTTATCGATTCTCGAGTTTGGCTTCATGATGTTTCACCGCCCTCTCAGATTTCATGGTTTTAGTATACAAGGGGACATGAAGCCGACGGTCTTCAGCGACTTTATGTCGGCGGCTGATCCAAAAGCTGCTTGATATCCAGTCAACTCAACGATACTTTTTTCACACAGGGAGCATTCCACAGGATAGTATGCCAGTTCCATTGTATTTGTGAATGTTGCGCGTCACAGTGTGACACACTTTTTATGAAAACTCTTTCCCGGAATTTGGTTAAACTTCTTAGGTATCCACCTTTCAGATGCGTCAAAATCGCACGTTTCACTTACATGCACAATACGTAGACACCTGTCAGCTACGTCTGTCTTTCAAGAATCGGAAGGTCTCATAGTCATCTTCCAACACTCTATGCGGCGATAGATTTGGGCCTTCTGTCCACCCACTATGAAGGGCTGATCAGTTTCTTGGGGGTATGTTGCGGCACTGGAGCATCATCAGTACAATTTATCTTGCAAGAGAAAATGTTCAATGACAACAATGGAAAGAATCTAGGCCAGATGCAGTTGTTCTTGGACTGAGGCCTTACACCATGGTCAATATTCTTACATTATTTTTTCTGCCAAAAATCCCGTGGAGGATTTATTTACTCCTTCTCAATGGGAATAACAAGTTTTACTGAAGGCTGCCAGGTCAGTATAATGCGCTTGCAGATGTGTGACTGAGAGGACTGTACGTCTTTTGGATGTGATATTTCCAATTCTCCGGGCTCCCGACCCAAGCTACGTTTTGATTGTTTCAGGTGCGTTGCGGTTAAGTCAGAACTATAATCCAACGGCTGATATGATTTTCACAAACCGAGTTTGACTGTGGCAGGTATTATTGGCAATGAGGTAAATCCAGTTTGAGGAACTGATTGGTATGGACTAGTATCCTCTGATACTACTACTATTGCGATATAAGCGACAAGGGTTTTTTGGTTCCTACAAATACTCCTCGGGGAGTGTGCCCAACCAATAGGACGTTTTTAGTCCCTATTTAAATGGTTGTTGGGTGGAAAAGTGACCTCAGCTACAATCATTCTTATCGTGAGGGATTGCAACGAAATGAATATGATGGTAGTACAGTCCAGTACCTGCGCTCGGTACGGGTGAAACCAAGGAAAGAAGTTCGTCCACGGGATCACCGCGTGTACCCCAAGTTGGTACTGGTTGGTTAAAGTATTTACTAAGCTCACGGAAGCATAAAGAGCGGGCATGAAAGCTCACAAGCTATATTTTCTGAACCCATAATAAAACGGGGATTGAGTTCATGTCCTGGGGCTCTTCATTACTACAGTAGCGAAGATTTGCACATTGTCTGACCATAGCACATAAGATTTATCATTTCGACAACTGTAGGGTGTTCGCCTATTACATTGGGTTGGGCTACCTTCATAACGTAGCCACAACAAATGGACAGACTAGATGAAGAGTTTTTTCAACTAATTCAATCGCAGTTATCTACCCCAAAGCCTCCGTATCAAGTGAATGACCTTGTTACTAGGAGGCGAAGTTCGTTCAGGTACAGAGAGTATCGGAGTCGAATGCCGTATGTTGCCGTTTGGAGTTGGATGGGTTAGGCAACTCAAACGCGTTGTTGAACCATTTGCGTGTAATTTGGTCCAGAAGAAGGTACACCGGAGTTTCGGTAGTTGCCGCGGCCTTCATGTGATTAGTGACCTTCAAAATAGGGGATCTCACAATCGTTAAAGATGGCCGGAGGAGCATTATCCTTGGCGGGGTGAGAGAATTCGTGAAATCGCTCAGTTTGTCCAGCGCGGCCTCGACCATGCTAACTCAGACGAAACGCTAATGCAGATGCCTTAGTAAGATCGGCTATGCTTGCCACCAGTGTACTCACTGATTGGTGTACTTGCATGAGTTTGTCATTGTAAACATGGATAGTAAACGGTCGGCATAGTCTATGGCGATGTACAGATTGGAAAACCGTTGACGGGAAGCTGTGGTGATGCACTGAGCTCCAAGGTAACTGATGTTGTCCATAGCTGGTTGATGGACAAGGAACTGATGTCAATGTTCAACAATATAGCTTCGTTATTTGGATAGAGCGGTTGATTGCAACAAGCATCTGCTCTGCTATAAAACTGTTTAGCAGTGGCGCTTAGGGCCTGCAAGCCTCATCCCCTAAAACACAAGCTAACTGAGATCTGGTCAGCGTTCATCGGTAAATCATTTTGGGATGCCCCTTCCTCTAAACCATCTGAAGTTTCTCAGCGAACCAGTTCAGATAATTCGTTTAGGGATTTATTTTTCGCAGCCGGTTTGCTTTTGAGAAACCACAAAAGACTGACTGATGAGGGCAGAACAATCGGGGTGTTCACTGCAACGTTGTTGATTAGTGCAACGTACTATCATTCATCTAGAAATTACATCGTATTTAAAAACGCCCATGAAAGGATCGGTACAAAGTATCAATGTATTACTTACTGGTCACACTTTGAAACAACTGAGCTATTCGTTCGTACGACTCTCGCTGAGATTCCAGTGAAACGTCCGGTTTCCACGAATTTGTTTGCACTGATAGCTTAACATAGATTGGACTCCAGGCCGTCACACCGCCAATGATTATGAGTGCGCCACCGACGACCTGTAATTTAAAATGCGGTGGGCAAAAAAAACAACTGAACAAACACCAAACGCGGTGTTTTGAACATTTTGCAGGCAAGTATGCTGGTGTGACTTCGGCTTTGTTGCCTCAGTCATGTCTTGACTTTAAAATACCTTGGTGGCATGATGTCCTCACTGCTTCAAATTCAATCGCACGCAGCTGGAAATAACTGAGATTCTGAGGCGTACTTAATACACGTTTACTGCTCAAATCGACTAAATTATAACTGTGAGTTGGATAAGGGCGAAGCTTTTTAGCCGTTGTAGATTTAATGAAATACCTTTGGTATTGGTAGCGTAGATTGTACAAGTATAGATCCTAATGCAAATAAATCTATCATTGTGAATGTTTCACTCTGAGTCAGAAGTGATCAACTCACTCCAGTCACAAACCACAGGCAATTACTTGATCGTATGAATAACGCCAGCTGGAATTTTGTTCCTCACGTTTTATTGATATTAGAAACGTTAACAGAGAGCGACCAGGAAGAGGACATCCAGTAACCCAACAAGGTGAATTCCTAATTCTCTAAAGCGGCCACGTTGGCCGCCTGTTTTAAATTCTTGCGCGAAACTGAAAATCCTGGGTTCAATCTTTGTCAAACACGCGTAGGGTGTGGTGAAGTTACGTTCCATTCCGCACAACCTTCTGGGATCTTGAGCACGATAGCATCACGTATACGAAAGCAGTCACCTAAACCAGTATGAAAGCACGAGTTTACTCGATTGGGGACTGATGCTCAACGTGTACTTCGGCCAATTTATTTTTTTAACTGAACAGGAAACCACATGTATGTGGCGGAAAATTCCCCCTAAGCAGGTTGCAAATGATGAATCCATCAGTCGAATTGTGGACGATAAGGGTTTTACTTGACATCCCGGGCTTTAGACCAAGGTATGAAGCCGGTACAGCTGGTCCAGACTGACTAAAACACGGGGACGATAGAGGAAATTGTCGGTAGTTCAGGTAGCGTAGATGGTCGTTAACCTGTTCGCTGAGCTGGGTAATTTGATTGCAGACGTTTTATCACCAATCGAGGTGACATCGTCAGAGCGTTATTGGGGAGCGTAGTTGTGCGTAGCAGTGGGTTAGTGGCCAACCACCTCGATCGGTGATGAAACGTTTGCAATCCAATTGCCCAGCTCAGCAAACAAGCCAACGACCAAACAGACGAAATCGCTTGTAAAAGAGAAACAAGAAAATATAGTTCGGCTTGGCTATTCTGCAAAATCATTTAAGGAATAGTTATCTGTGTGACATCATATATATGGGACTAAGTTCTTTCCTTTGAATTTGAACGCTGTTCATGCATCAAGGTTAATGAATAAATGAATGCCAATGGCATTCGTGAAAGTCATTGAAACTCACCATCATCAAAACGGTGAGAATAAATAAAAGATGGAAGGTCAATTTTCGGCACATTTTAGCTGAAAAGAAAAAAAACGAATTCAACACATTTATCTGCTGGAAATCGATTCGAATGTATCAGAAGAAAACACTTCATCGTTATGTTTATTGGTATCACCGTATTGTGAAAACATGTTGGTTTTCCCATTTTGTGTTTTAAAATTTAGCTAGAAATACTTTTGCAATTTTGACAGGAGCTATGTCGTGTTGTGGAACAAAAGTTGCACTCTATTTGCAAGTTCCAACAAGATGGGAGCTCAACGGATGATGCGGCTACACTGCGCTGCCCGCTGGTAGCACCCACACGTTACCGAACCATTGACAGTTGTTGAATTCCCTCGTGGGGTTTGAATATTGCGATTGACAGCGTTTAGTTTGCAGCTTGCTCATGAGTTTTTCTTGTTGTTTGTTGATCGTCTTGCACCCGAATACGATAAGCCTCACTGAGAAAATGGTTATTACTGAATACTGGGCACTGAAAATGCCCAGCTTAGGGAACAAACCAACGATCGTAAATGGCATGAGTGGTTACAATATGTTTAAAGCTTACTTCAATCACTATACTGTAGTGCCGGAGATCTTTCGCGCAGTCCAAATGTGCACGTGAGATAATAATACCATCAGAAAAAAATTGAAATCAAAATCGTTCAGCTATAACTCCCTCTTAGTGTCTAGCCGCTACCCGAAGGAAGCACGAGGGCTGGGATACTGCCAGAATGCTCAAGCCTAGACAGGGGAAGTTGAGAGGCAAAGGTCGGTTTCGAACCACGAATCTTCCGGTCAGTAAATTCGCCCTATGACCACTGAGACCGTTCACTCCACTCTCAGGAAAACTGCCAAAATTAATTTCGCTTACAATCTCGCCAAGTTGATGAGCCTCCAACGAGTTTGCAACCCGCGATCTATAGGTTGGTAGTTTAAACGTTTAGCCATGGTTGGACGACAGGAGTTGATAATCACCGAGTAAAAATTTATTCCCGTAAATAAAACCTTTTTGCGAGTTGCTAGGCGGAATAATTTTTCTGTAGCTCCTCAGTAACTCAGAAAGCCTAAAGTGTGTCGCCAAAACGCGCGCACGTCTTAGAACCTGATGCCTGGTTGAACAGACATCAAAACCACACTTTCATATGAGTAGGTCTCGTTGATCGGACACATTTATAATGAGGAAAACAATACGTGTTCCGTTTGTTGTAAGTGATGTTCTTATCACTTTAAACTTTGCCCTTTCATCAGCTACATTATCAGATGGGAACGTGCTTTAGTGTCCTGAACCGAGTTGTGTCTTTTGGTCAACATCCGAGTCCCTGCTGCTTACTTCCAACCGTATTAAAAATGCAGGGGCTACGAAGTTCCAAGTAGTTTCAGATGTTCCAACTATTCTGTTGTTAGTTTGATCGAACAGGGTTAACGTGGCTGAGAACTAAATTGCGTACCCGGGCATTTTCATCCATGTAAGGATTAATTTCAGTTCTACAGCCACGAAACGTTGCGCGTAAAAGCGAATACAGCCGAAAACCTCAAAGTTGTTTGAAGCTGCTAATCTTGTTGATCGTAGGGTGGTTTTTGTGGTAATGATATCCGAGAGTGGATACGTTGGAACTTACAACACCCCTTTGATTTCAAAGAGTTGCGCTAAAGGCAAAACAGCCATTTTCCTCTTAGTACGTAGGATTAACCAGACAATCCCGTAGGCATATCCTGAAACTTCCGGGGAGTTCCAAAGTTTCATCTTTCGGCTAGAAGTAATTAACTTTTCGGTCACGAGTGACTGGTCAGAAGTTTAATTTACTTGCTTCAAGACAAGATAGTGCACCTCATAACCTTGAATCACGGGGCTCTTATCACGTGATCATGTACTGAATGGATATCCCAGTGAGGACTTCTTGGAAGTTACAGTCAACTTGTGAAATTATTGTTCCACTGAGCTACTTACAGACTGATGGTAGTATGTGGAACTATGGTTATTTCCAGTTGAGTGACTTCTTGGAGTTACAGTCAACTTGTGAAATTATTGTTCCACTGAGCTACTTACAGACTGATGGTAGTATGTGGAACTATGGTTATTTCCAGTTGAGTGGGGCTGCTTTTCAAGCCATATGTAGTCGCCTTATCGAAGTTTTTTTCCAGTGACTTAGTATAAGTTCAATAAATTGGTACAGGGATCATGGCTCTAATGATTGCAGAAAAATGAATGGTTACACGGAAGGCAAATGACTAAAATGCTTGGCCGCTTCTGTGGCCAATCTGGGCTGGACAGCGTGGCTATGCCACCAGACAGAAGGAGTCCAAGTTTTTCAATAATCTGCTTTTTTCACAGACGCCACCCTAGCATTAAAGAAACTGTTATCGATAGATTCCTTGCAAGAAATTCTAAGTAATCGATAATTGCTTCATCCAAATGTGTGCCAGATCAGATGTTGTATCGACAAAAATGTAATGGAACTGAATATTCAGCGAGATCCCGGTTGTATTCTAAAGGGTAACCTGAGATTTGGCATGAACTAGCAACCAAGTGGAAAGCTTTTCATATTGCGTTTCAGCGCAGAGCACTCAAATGAGCCTAAAGGTTGAAAGAACCTACAGAGGAATATGTCGACCTGTTCGGAAGCGACAAACGGGGTGAACTCTGCGTGGATCAGTAGAATAGTATTCACGTGCCTCATTCAAATATCTGGTGCTCGAATCCCGGTGCAGCCAACGATATGCACCTCTGATGACCATCAATCAGAGCAGAAACAGCACCTAGAGCTTTCCACCTTTGATGTGTACCCAAAAATAATTTTGCCAGGGATGTTTAAATGAAATTAGCTAATCCACAACCTCCACAGAATTTCGCCTACTTAGACACTAAACGCTACCACTGTTTTATTTGAAACCAGCATCAGCTAGAAAATATGTTACCATCTTACCGTGGAAAATTCATAATGATTGTGTGCAGTTCGCATTCACCTCTGAGTCTGTTTTCTGTGTTCCGCGTAGTTGAAACTGATGTCTTAGAAATCTTGAACCAACTTCTCGACGAATGATCAAGCTCTCAAGACGAGCCATCTCACTCAGCCTTCCGGATGACACTACGGCATCCCAATACCACGCATAGTCTGTTGGCGATAATAACACGTGCTCTTGTTAGTTTATATTCTGGTGCTTGCTACAGCTGGTGATACCAGTACAAATGAGAATTACAATGATTCTTCACGTAAATGAAACTAAGCTAATTATTTGACTCCTAGAATCGTAACAACGGATGACTGTCTCGTGTTATCGTGTATAACTACCACGAATCAGTGTCGTTTAAAGGTTGCAAATCAAACCTAGCCCAAGTTGACTGACTTCTGTATTGGGTTAGTCTGCTAAGACGAACGATTCGATGAACTCAAGAAAGGATTGTAGTCACACGGTACTGCGGTTGTCTGCTGAGGCTTGTTCGAGGAGTAGGAGGTCAGGTTGTTTGGAACAGTTCAGCCTTCCGACGTACAAGTTATTTGTCCGACGAATCTTCCATATTTTCAGGAAAAGCGCAGCCCATGCTTCGA